AGAGGGACTGCAGCATCATCATCAACGACCTCACTGCGTCAGACTCTGGATCGTATCAGCTCAGAGTTATGGGTTTGCAATTTCTAGAGGGTCTGAAGATGGATATACATTTAGCTCAACAGCAACTGTCTCTGTTAAAGGTATGAAAAACGACAGCAACCTTTAATGTCAAAATGTTATTTTGACATGCATACATGGATTTGAGATTATCTTAAACATAACATTTTGTTAGCATCCTCCTAAAAAAAGGAATAAGTTACTGTGAAATCAAGGATATAAATGTGACGATTTCCATTGTGTACAATACTGTAATTGAACTCTTACTACGGTATAGTGTTGAACAAATGACCCTTTTAGTTTAGCCCAGTGTAAATGTGTTTGACCTACAGACTGCTCATCTGGTTCTGATGGACCTGTCTCCCTTTAGAGCTGATCCAGAAGCCCACAGTGATGGTTCCTCCTTTGACAGAGGGTTGGCAGAGCACGCTGACCTGCACTGCCCTGGTCTCTGCTCTGGATCTGCTCCTGAGTTCACCTGGATGTGGCGAGGAGGAGGAGGAGAGAAGGACACCCACATCACAGGAAACATCATGATTTTGCGATTGAGAGTTTGAACGCTGTATCACAAAGACACAGCTCAACTATAACTTTAAACCCTTCATTCACCCAGCACCACAACTCTGAGATCACCTGTAAGGTTAACTTTGTGAACAACATCACTACAGAGGAGACAGTGACTCTGAAACTGAACTGTGAGTATAGAGCTTAGTGTGAACATGTGAACATGGCATTAACTCCTTGAATGACTTATGCGGTTTTCCCACTTAGACAAAACTCCTGAAAACTTCCCGAAATGTTCAGGGTGAGCTTCATTTGTGAATTCAAATGGTCAAATTTTGGTGGTGGGGAAGCTGACAATTATAACACTGGACCATTGGGTGACTTGTGCGTAGTGAAGCTGCTTCATACTCTTTTCGGCTTACAATAATTGACTTTACCACTCATTCGTTGAAACTGTAAATACATCCAATAACATGAAGTATTGGTATTGCCTCCCGAGGCCCCCCCATACAACTAGTAAAGTCTCTTGCGGTTAGGTGGGTGCACATGTCAACAAGTAAGTTAGAAAGATTCCGGTAGCAGGCTGCCCTGAAATTCATTAGAAATGTTCCATAGTGCATATGTGAAAAAGGCTCTACAGACTGGTTAGTTAAAAACAACACCGTACTCTGTTCTGCGTTTAATAAAATGGTCACTAAAGTTAGAAGAAAATCATTATTTCGTAGATCTCTTGTAAAAAAAGTCAATAAAAAATTCTGAATGTGTGTCCACAGTGTATCCAAAGATCCTAAACAGCTCTAAATGTGAGGTTCAGTCAGACGTACTGACCTGTGTGTGTGCCAGTGAGGGGTTACCTTTACCCACCATCAAATGGCCGCTGTTGGAAAACCACACCCAGTACTCTGTCACTACCACTGTGACAGGCACCACAGTAACCAGCACCCTTAACCTAATGTTAAAGGACCAAAGCAACACTGTGGTTGAGTGTGTCAGCAGCAGTGAGGTTGGAGACGTGAAAAAGAGCCTCATCATGATAACGTCAGAAAGGCGAGAGGGTGAGTAAACGCTTTAAAGTAGGACCTATGAAGACAAGAATGTGTTTAGAATAATAGTTCTGTTTAAAACTTTTAGGCTTTAAAGTTCTAGGCAAAGTTATTTAATTATAATTTAATAATACAAGTACATTTTTAGTTTTGCATGTCGGTACAACATGAAGTTGAGATATTTGTTTAAATGAATAACTGAATCAAAAACCAATCAGGTTAGCTTAACAAACTAGATAAACTGATCGGCTGTCATTGTTGATGTCCTCCAGCATAACTAGCTGAGCAGAAAGTCGCACATTCTTTAAGCAGTTAAAGACCTTTGTGTCATCTTTTACCAGATCAACACTGCCTGATTCCCTGGGTTGTTGTCGCTGCTGTATCTCTCAGTGTGAATGTCGTCCTAATAATCAGCCTGATGTTCCTTTGGTATGTTGCTACACCATCATTTTATGCTCTGAAAGCTTTATTCATGCACTGGAAACTTTTAGACATTTCACCACATGTCACGTTTTCTTCTTTCCAAAGGAACAAAAGAAAAGCAGTGAAACCAAACCAGGAGGACACAACGTACATGTCACTGAAGAAAAGAGACCAATCAGCAGAGTATGACGTTATCGGCCAGCCTCTGAACTAACAAGACTCAGCTCGTCATTGGGAGAAAGTATTTATGAAGTCTTAATGATCTGTTACATTATACATTCAACGATGTATTTTTTGGTGTTTTTAAAAAAGTATTTTTTTTTCCTATTTTCATTTTTGTAGTTCATTTTCTAAAACCTTATTTAAACAGTTTAAGTTAACTGTGTCAGCTTTGTTGTTCAATAACCTGTTCACGTTCACTCGCCATACAACTGGCTTATTCCCAGTGAACTCCAAGTCCACTATTGAAGCTGTGATTCTTTGTGCTTTGTAGTTTTTATGTTTTTTTTAATCACTACACATCTGTAACTACATTTTTCCAGTCAAATGAATGGTCTTTTACAAAAGGTTCATGAGATCTCATTGTTGTTACCAGTTAAATGTTTAAAACTGTTTTTGTTTATAATTAATTGAATAAATAATTTGAATCTTTTTCAGTTTCTTCATTAACTGATTATGAATTGTCATTTCATCGACAGACTTATATAAATATTTGGCCCATAAGATATTGAACATTTCCTCATTATAACACAAAATCAAAATAGCAAATTTGGTTCCATTCTGTTAAAAAGTTAAATATAGTTCAACAAAGGGCAAATTAATTTTTATTAAGTTATGCCCATAAGACTTCATCAATGATATCTGCCATTGCAGATTTTTGCAATGGCAGAAGAAGATAACTATGAACAATTTAACTATTTGATTAGGCACTCAACCACTGGGTATATTTAACAAAGCAACTTTGGAATAACCCAACATGCAACATCCTGTTTTAACATGATGAGAAGTGTGGAGTTTCCATTGTTACATCAAACTTCAATCGTGCAGTTTTGCAGTTTTGCACAAACATGTTCTTCCCTTTCACTTCTTATTTCCTATAAGATAAGTCAACAAGACAGCTTTTAATAGGGAGCGCAGTGCATCTTTGAAGATTGCATTATGTCCACATCATAGAGTCTATGGTCCTGCCTCGTATATTTTTTAAATCAAGTTACAATAAAAGGTAAAACAGCGCCTCCCCGGATTTCATTCTGACTGCATGTCTTGTGTGCGGTGAAAGAGGGTATTGCACTCTTGTAGAGGGAAAATCATTCCCACTTAAAGCAAGCAGGTGGTAGCAGTTGTAAAAAATCTATTTACTTTATGCAGTTGTTGTGGATGTCCCGGAAAACTTTGGGTGGGAAGGAAAACCTCTTTCATTATGTTATAACTTCTTTAATTTGTCCTTCAGTCAGACGTCCTGACCTGTGTGTGCATCAGTGAGGGGTTTCCTTTACCCACCATTGAACGGTCGCTACTGGAGAACCACACCCAGTACTCTGTCACGACTAGAAAGTCAAAGCACTCAGTCAACAGTCAATAATTTGGGTTAAAGTACATTTTTAGTTTTGCATGTTGGTACAACAACAATTGAGATATTCTTTTTAATTTATAACTGAATCAAAAACCAATCAGGGTTAGCATAACATAACAAGCCAATTTCAGCAACTCTGTCCAATAATCAGCCTGATGTTCCTTTGGTATGTTGCTACACCATATTTTATGTTCTGAAAGCTCTATTCATGCACTGGAAACTTTTAGACATTTCACCACATGTCACGTTTTCTTCTTTCCAAAGGAACAAAAGAAAAGCAGTGAAACCAAACCAGGAGGACACAACGTCACTGAATACTTTCCTGATGGGTCCAGCACCTTCTGCTGGAGGAATAGTAGTTATAGTGCAAATGTTGACCTCCCTTATGTTATTCAAAAACACGTTTGGTAATTAAATATACCCATAAGAGAGAGACTAATGCACGCTTTTATTACCAGCAGGCTGGACTATTGTAACGCTCTCCTTTCTGGTCTTCCTAAAAACACAACAAATCGGCTACAGCTACTACAAAACTCTGCCGCATGAGTACTGACAAAGACCAGAAGGAGAGCACACATCACACCTGTTTTACAATCTTTACACTGGCTGCCTGTTAGTTTTCGTGTTGATTTTAAAATTCTTTTATTAGTTTATAAAGCATTACATGGTCAGACTACCTCTCAGATATCATTTTAGTTTATGAACCAGTACGGCCCCTCAGATCCTCCAGTTCCTCTCTCTTAGTTGTTCCACAGAGCAGGACAAAAACCTTTGACGATGCTGCTTTCAGCTGTTACGCTCCGAGACTGTGGAACAACCTTCCTGAGGGTCTGAGAGTAGCCCAGAATATCGAGATTTTTAAATGCAGTCTTAAAACTCATTTATTCAGTCTGGCTTTTATATAGTGTTTTATATCAATTCAAATCTTAACATTACTGTATTGTCTTTTTTATCCTACCACAATTTTAAATATTTTCCTCTTATGTATTTATTTTAATATCGTGTTGCTTTTATGTGTCGTATTTTCTTTTCTTCTTTTTTTTTACACATATTTTTTAATTCTTATTGGTGTGCATTAGTCTCTCAATGATTTTATAAACTACTTTTTGTCAACAACTTTTCTGTACTCTTGTTAAGCACTTTGAACTGCAATTTAATTTGTCTGAAAGGTGCTATAGAAATAAAGTTTGATTGATTGATAAATTTAGCATTAGGCCTATACTGCTTCAGGTTTTCCACACATCAAAGATATTTATTTTATTCACCCAGTTATTTTAGTTTGTAAATGTGATGCTGTTGATTAATTAATTTCATTAGCTTGTATGTAAAAACCCAGCCTTCATATGAACACATTAGTATTTGTAAAACAAACCTTTTGAAGTTAGAATTATATTATTAACCACTTGAATGTAGTTTGAAAGACAATTATTTGACCTACGTACATAGAAATCTTTCTTGGTATGTAAAATAGTAGTACCTCGAAATTAGGCTTTAATGCAATAGGCTACTTAATCATACTGTATTAATCATTTAATTCTCAACGTTTAATCAGGTACAAAGTCACATCTTCAGCCCAATGTTATTTCTTTATCCAAGCATTTGTAGTTTTGGTTTTTTTATGGATTTTAAATGTTTGTACTTTACAATCAATCAATCACTCAATCACTCAATCAATCAATCAATCAATCAATCAATCAATCAATCAATCAATCAATCAATCAATCAATCATAATCAAATAATCAGTCTTTATTTGTATGGCACCATTTCACAACAAATGTTATCTCAATACAATTTACAAAAAAAGCAGGTAAAAGGTCCTTAGCAGCAGTCCGTCCCCGCCAACAATACAGAGTAACCAAAAGAGAGAGAGAGAGAGAGAGAGAGAGAGAGAGAGAGAGAGAGAGAGAGAGTGAGAGAGAGAGAGAGAGAGAGAGAGAGAGCAGCTCAAGGTGCCAGTTCCCCCAGTAGTCTAAGACTATAGCAGCTGGTCTACACCTGTACCAGCCCAAACTATAAGCTTTATCAAAAATAAAGTTTTAAAGTCTAATCTTAAAGTACTTTCCTGAGAACTGTATTTACAGATGTTGCACAATATGAGCCGTAAAAACACACCAGTATGCAGAAGGGCTTCCTGAGATGATTAGAATGAGGAAACTCTTTAAGACATTTCTTTATATTTGATTTTTGACATTGTTAATACATTTTATCCTTCACACATTTTAATGAAACATGACAGGAAGTTTCATTTTAGCAAACTCCTAAAACTTGCACTACAGAAATAAGCTTTTTCCGGATCTGACAGACAGAAACAAACAGTACATGTGTGTCCAATAGATGTGATTCAAGATGACAACATTTAAAACGCACATTCGATCAGAAAAAGACAAAAGACATGTCCATCCCTTTACAAAAAGGCATGAAAGTCATGTTCTGTACGTCATGAAGAGGATCCAACGGAACGGTTAACTTAGACCGTATTCTAAAATACATGAATATTAAAAGTGAACATTTCTAATTTAAGTGTATAAAAGCTTGTCAGTTGCAGTAGAGGAGAAATAAGGCACAGCAAGTGCCTTATTTCTGAGGAAACTTCCTGAAATTTGGTTGCACAAAAAAAGAAGAAACAGAAAAGTGAAAAGGGTCAGTTCAGAGTCGACACTGGTAGAGAGAAGAGAGCTGGACGACGAGACACAAAGAGGTAACATGGAACTTTTACATTTGTTTTAATAATATACTTTAAGACTGTAAATGGAAGTGACTGAATTGATTTATTCTTCCCCGGTGTATTTAAAGAAAAACACTTTTTTGATATTCTGTGATTTGGTGGTAAAGTAAGTTTGATGGGTGCTGAAGAAACATGTTTATGATGTGTAGGATGAAATAGATGCCGTACTTTAAACAATTGATGAATTTAGTTAATGTTTAGGTGGATCATAGCTGATGTTGTTATAAAGATGATTAGAATGTATTCTATTACAAGTATAAAGGACGTATCAAAAGCAACGCTTTCCCATAAAAAAATCTCAGGGTAGTCGCACCCCTTGGGCAGAAGTTGTTAAACTTGCAACTACAGAATAACTGATCATGCAACATCCTGTTTTTAGGGCTGTGATGTCAGCTGTGGACTTCCCGTTTGTTCCGTTCCTGCACGTTTACTGCGCCTTCACAGTGAAATCTGTTCTGTAGAGGGAGTGACTGACAGTCCCAACAATCAAATCAGGATGTTTGTTCTCATGTGGTCGACTCTGCTTTTCTCTGTGTGGGGCAGCAATGCAGACGTAGGTATGTGTCTTTTTCATATGCATATAACAACAACAACAAAACGGCAACAATATCTCGTTTTTTTTCTTGGCATGTTTTTGATGTATTGTAGAAAGTGAATTAATTTCTTTTTTTTTTTTACCAAAGAATGAATGTATCAATGTTAAAGGCTGACTAACTCTGCTGTTAAATTTTACTTGACACTTTTTTAATTCTTTAATTCATTTTAATAATTTGTTTACTAAAGAAATTAAACTAATTGGCTTGTTGTGCTGTTTCCAATTGTTGTTGCTTAGCAATCAGAAGTTATATACAACAAAAACAGTTGATGAACTATTGGTCAGAAGTAGCAGCATTTTCTCAGTTTGTATTTGATATTTCTGAAATTGAAATATTCTGAGTTGCACCCTGTTTGCATCCACAGGTACATCATTGGAAAGAAGAGAGTTCTGTCAAGATAACTTCTGTATCACTCTGATTGATGGACAAATAACAGCAGAGGCTGGACTCTGTGTCGTGATCCCGTGTTCTTTTACTATTAGTTATTGGTTCAGTCCCAAAGGTCTCGTTTGGTTCAAATGTGAAACTGTTCAAAGATGTGGTGATTCAGACGTGATATTGAGCAGGAACAACCAAAAGATTCAGCCTGGGTTCAAAGGTCGAGTGTCACTGTTGGAGCCTAACCTTTCTCAGAGGAACTGCAGCATCATCATCAACGACCTCACTGCATCAGACTCTGGATCGTATCAGCTCAAAGTTAATCTTTTCACGTCTAGTGGGAGACAAGATAAATTTCAATATCTACAAAGAGCAACTGTCTTAGTTAAAGGTATGGAGGGCTACACAAACATACATTTAATATGTTAACTTCTGTACCTTTAAACTGCAATGACAAGTTTAGAGTGTTTATATTCTCTGTGGAGCCCACAGTAATTATTGACATTTGTCGACCTTTGTTGGCAACCTGTAGGAGCTGCAGCTGTTCCTAATATATCTCTTACATATGCATTTTAAGTTTTTAGTATCTTAAGTTTATTTTGTCCACATTTTAATGGCTCTGGAGTTTTAGTTTGCTCACCTGATTTTTCTTACGGATTTCTCCTCCATCAGATCTGACCCAGAAGCCCACATTGATGATTCCTCCTCTGACAGAGGGGCTGCAGAGCACACTGACCTGCACTGCTCCTGGTCTCTGCTCTGGATCTGCTCCTGAGATCACCTGGATGTGGAGAGGAGGAGGAGGAGAGAATGACTCCCACATCACAGGAAACATCACTGATTTCAAGACTGAGACTCTGACTGATGTGGAACAAAGACACAGCTCAACTTTGAGCTTTACACCCTCTGCTAAACACCATGGCACCAGCATCACCTGTAAGGTGGGCTTCACAGGTGGGACAACCGCAGAGGAGACGGTGACTCTCAATGTGACCTGTGAGTACAAATTTTTTTCTCGGATTTGCTCAGTGTTACATTTACATTGTATAGACGCTGTGTGTATTTCTGTCTCACAGATGTGAAGGAAGTTGAAATCACTGGAAACACGAGTGTGAGGGAGGGTGAGCTGCTTCAACTGACCTGCAGTGTTGAAAGTTTCCCTCCATCTCTTGTCACATGGACAAAAATGTCGACCAAAGACATTAAAAGTGGATCAAAACCAGATGTGCAAAATGACACTTTAGCTAACCCAGAGAACACAACTGAAATCTACCTACTGAGTGGAAATGGACAGGTGACTTTTTCCATCACTAAAGTGACCGCCAAAGATTCTGGACAGTACATCTGCACAGCAAATCATTCAAACATCACCCAGGTGGAAAAAGTTGACATTGAAGTGATATGTAAGTGTAAACCAAAGTATCATTTTCCTCCTTTTCATCATTAGATACATGACACCAGGTGTTTACAGCAGAAAACAGCCTGAATGACTTCCACAGCCCCAACACCTCCAGACGTACAGGAGGCTTTTTAACATACAATGTTCAATATTTTTAAATGTGACTACAGACTTACTCTCTGATGTACGTCGCTTTGGATAAAAGCGTCTGCTAAGTGAATTGTACGGGTGATCAGCATTGATTCATTAAAATAGGAATTAAGTCTTTACAGCGATGGAGGCTTTTGGAAAACTGACTGTTCTTTTTAAGTCTTACTGGAGCCAAATGATTTTGCGATTGAGAGTTTGAACGCTGTATCACAAAGACACAGCTCAACTATAACTTTAAACCCTTCATTCACCCAGCACCACAACTCTGAGATCACCTGTAAGGTTAACTTTGTGAACAACATCACTACAGAGGAGACAGTGACTCTGAAACTGAACTGTGAGTATAGAGCTTAGTGTGAACATGTGAACATGGGCATTAACTCCTTGAATGACTTATGCGGTTTTCCCACTTAGACAAAACTCCTGAAAACTTCCCGAAATGTTCAGGGTGAGCTTCATTTGTGAATTCAAATGGTCAAATTTTGGTGGTGGGGAAGCTGACAATTATAACACTGGACCATTGGGTGACTTGTGCGTAGTGAAGCTGCTTCATACTCTTTTCGGCTTACAATAATTGACTTTACCACTCATTCGTTGAAACTGTAAATACATCCAATAACATGAAGTATTGGTATTGCCTCCCGAGGCCCCCCCATACAACTAGTAAAGTCTCTTGCGGTTAGGTGGGTGCACATGTCAACAAGTAAGTTAGAAAGATTCCGGTAGCAGGCTGCCCTGAAATTCATTAGAAATGTTCCATAGTGCATATGTGAAAAAGGCTCTACAGACCGGTTAGTTAAAAACAACACCGTACTCTGTAAGCGTTCTGCGTTTAATAAAATGGTCACTAAAGTTAGAAGAAAATCATTATTTCGTAGATCTCTTGTAAAAAAAGTCAATAAAAAATTCTGAATGTGTGTCCACAGTGTATCCAAAGATCCTAAACAGCTCTAAATGTGAGGTTCAGTCAGACGTACTGACCTGTGTGTGTGCCAGTGAGGGGTTACCTTTACCCACCATCAAATGGCTACTGTTGGAAAACCACACCCAGTACTCTGTCACTACCACTGTGACAAGCACCACAGTAACCAGCACCCTTAACCTAATGTTAAAGGACCAAAGCAACACTGTGGTTGAGTGTGTCAGCAGCAGTGAGGTTGGAGACGTGAAAAAGAGCCTCACCATGACAACGTCAGAAAGGCGAGAGGGTGAGTAAACGCTTTAAAGTAGGACCTATGAAGACAAGAATGTGTTTAGAATAATAGTTCTGTTTAAAACTTTTAGGCTTTAAAGTTCTAGGCAAAGTTATTTAATTATAATTTAATAATACAAGTACATTTTTAGTTTTGCATGTCGGTACAACATGAAGTTGAGATATTTGTTTAAATGAATAACTGAATCAAAAACCAATCAGGGTTAGCTTAACAAACTAGATAAACTGATCGGCTGTCATTGTTGATGTCCTCCAGCATAACTAGCTGAGCAGAAAGTCGCACATTCTTTAAGCAGTTAAAGATCTTTGTGTCATCTTTTACCAGATCAACACTGCCTGATTCCCTGGGTTGTTGTCGCTGCTGTATCTCTCAGTGTGAATGTCGTCCTAATAATCAGCCTGATGTTCCTTTGGTATGTTGCTACACCATCATTTTATGCTCTGAAAGCTTTATTCATGCACTGGAAACTTTTAGACATTTCACCACATGTCACGTTTTCTTCTTTCCAAAGGAACAAAAGAAAAGCAGTGAAACCAAACCAGGAGGACACAACGTACATGTCACTGAAGAAAAGAGACCAATCAGCAGAGTATGACGTTATCGGCCAGCCTCTGAACTAACAAGACTCAGCTCGTCATTGGGAGAAAGTATTTATGAAGTCTTAATGATCTGTTACATTATACATTCAACGATGTATTTTTTGGTGTTTTTAAAAAAGTATTTTTTTTTCCTATTTTCATTTTTGTAGTTCATTTTCTAAAACCTTATTTAAACAGTTTAAGTTAACTGTGTCAGCTTTGTTGTTCAATAACCTGTTCACGTTCACTCGCCATACAACTGGCTTATTCCCAGTGAACTCCAAGTCCACTATTGAAGCTGTGATTCTTTGTGCTTTGTAGTTTTTATGTTTTTTTTAATCACTACACATCTGTAACTACATTTTTCCAGTCAAATGAATGGTCTTTTACAAAAGGTTCATGAGATCTCATTGTTGTTACCAGTTAAATGTTTAAAACTGTTTTTGTTTGTAATTAATTGAATAAATAATTTGAATCTTTTTCAGTTTCTTCATTAACTGATTATGAATTGTCATTTCATCGACAGACTTATATAAATATTTGGCCCATAAGATATTGAACATTTCCTCATTATAACACAAAATCAAAATAGCAAATTTGGTTCCATTCTGTTAAAAAGTTAAATATAGTTCAACAAAGGGCATATTAATTTTTATTAAGTTATGCCCATAAGACTTCATCAATGATATCTGCCATTGCAGATTTTTGCAATGGCAGAAGAAGATAACTATGAACAATTTAACTATTTGATTAGGCACTCAACCACAGGGTATATTTAACAAAGCAACTCTGGAATAACCCAACATGCAACATCCTGTTTTAACATGATGAGAAGTGTGGAGTTTCCATTGTTACATCAAACTTCAATCGTGCAGTTTTGCACAAACATGTTCTTCCCTTTCACTTCTTATTTCCTATAAGATAAGTCAACAAGACAGCTTTTAATAGGGAGCGCAGTGCATCTTTGAAGATTGCATTATGTCCACATCATAGAGTCTATGGTCCTGCCTCGTATATTTTTTAAATCAAGTTACAATAAAAGGTAAAACAGCGCCTCCCCGGATTTCATTCTGACTGCATGTCTTGTGTGCGGTGAAAGAGGGTATTGCACTCTTGTAGAGGGAAAATCATTCCCACTTAAAGCAAGCAGGTGGTAGCAGTTGTAAAAAATCTATTTACTTTATGCAGTTGTTGTGGATGTCCCGGAAAACTTTGGGTGGGAAGGAAAACCTCTTTCATTATGTTATAACTTCTTTAATTTGTCCTTCAGTCAGACGTCCTGACCTGTGTGTGCATCAGTGAGGGGTTTCCTTTACCCACCATTGAACGGTCGCTACTGGAGAACCACACCCAGTACTCTGTCACGACTAGAAAGTCAAAGCACTCAGTCAACAGTCAATAATTTGGGTTAAAGTACATTTTTAGTTTTGCATGTTGGTACAACAACAATTGAGATATTCTTTTTAATTTATAACTGAATCAAAAACCAATCAGGGTTAGCATAACATAACAAGCCAATTTCAGCAACTCTGTCCAATAATCAGCCTGATGTTCCTTTGGTATGTTGCTACACCATCATTTTATGTTCTGAAAGCTCTATTCATGCACTGGAAACTTTTAGACATTTCACCACATGTCACGTTTTCTTCTTTCCAAAGGAACAAAAGAAAAGCAGTGAAACCAAACCAGGAGGACACAACGTCACTGAATACTTTCCTGATGGGTCCAGCACCTTCTGCTGGAGGAATAGTAGTTATAGTGCAAATGTTGACCTCCCTTATGTTATTCAAAAACACGTTTGGTAATTAAATATACCCATAAGAGAGAGACTAATGCACGCTTTTATTACCAGCAGGCTGGACTATTGTAACGCTCTCCTTTCTGGTCTTCCTAAAAACACAACAAATCGGCTACAGCTACTACAAAACTCTGCCGCATGAGTACTGACAAAGACCAGAAGGAGAGCACACATCACACCTGTTTTACAATCTTTACACTGGCTGCCTGTTAGTTTTCGTGTTGATTTTAAAATTCTTTTATTAGTTTATAAAGCATTACATGGTCAGACTACCTCTCAGATATCATTTTAGTTTATGAACCAGTACGGCCCCTCAGATCCTCCAGTTCCTCTCTCTTAGTTGTTCCACAGAGCAGGACAAAAACCTTTGGCGATGCTGCTTTCAGCTGTTACGCTCCGAGACTGTGGAACAACCTTCCTGAGGGTCTGAGAGTAGCCCAGAATATCGAGATTTTTAAATGCAGTCTTAAAACTCATTTATTCAGTCTGGCTTTTATATAGTGTTTTATATCAATTCAAATCTTAACATTACTGTATTGTCTTTTTTATCCTACCACAATTTTAAATATTTTCCTCTTATGTATTTATTTTAATATCGTGTTGCTTTTATGTGTCGTATTTTCTTTTCTTCTTTTTTTTTACACATATTTTTTAATTCTTATTGGTGTGCATTAGTCTCTCAATGATTTTATAAACTACTTTTTGTCAACAACTTTTCTGTACTCTTGTTAAGCACTTTGAACTGCAATTTAATTTGTCTGAAAGGTGCTATAGAAATAAAGTTTGATTGATTGATTGATAAATTTAGCATTAGGCCTATACTGCTTCAGGTTTTCCACACATCAAAGATATTTATTTTATTCACCCAGTTATTTTAGTTTGTAAATGTGATGCTGTTGATTAATTAATTTCATTAGCTTGTATGTAAAAACCCAGCCTTCATATGAACACATTAGTATTTGTAAAACAAACCTTTTGAAGTTAGAATTATATTATTAACCACTTGAATGTAGTTTGAAAGACAATTATTTGACCTACGTACATAGAAATCTTTCTTGGTATGTAAAATAGTAGTACCTCGAAATTAGGCTTTAATGCAATAGGCTACTTAATCATACTGTATTAATCATTTAATTCTCAACGTTTAATCAGGTACAAAGTCACATCTTCAGCCCAATGTTATTTCTTTATCCAAGCATTTGTAGTTTTGGTTTTTTTATGGATTTTAAATGTTTGTACTTTACAATCAATCAATCACTCAATCACTCAATCACTCAATCAATCAATCAATCAATCAATCAATCAATCAATCAATCAATCAATCAATCAATCAATCAATCAATCAATCAATCAATCAATCAATCAATCAATCATAATCAAATAATCAGTCTTTATTTGTATGGCACCATTTCACAACAAATGTTATCTCAATACAATTTACAAAAAAAGCAGGTAAAAGGTCCTTAGCAGCAGTCCGTCCCCGCCAACAATACAGAGTAACCAAAAGAGAGAGAGAGAGAGAGAGAGAGAGAGAGAGAGAGAGAGAGAGTGAGAGAGAGAGAGAGAGAGAGAGAGAGAGCAGCTCAAGGTGCCAGTTCCCCCAGTAGTCTAAGACTATAGCAGCTGGTCTACACCTGTACCAGCCCAAACTATAAGCTTTATCAAAAATAAAGTTTTAAAGTCTAATCTTAAAGTACTTTCCTGAGAACTGTATTTACAGATGTTGCACAATATGAGCCGTAAAAACACACCAGTATGCAGAAGGGCTTCCTGAGATGATTAGAATGAGGAAACTCTTTAAGACATTTCTTTATATTTGATTTTTGACATTGTTAATACATTTTATCCTTCACACATTTTAATGAAACATGACAGGAAGTTTCATTTTAGCAAACTCCTAAAACTTGCACTACAGAAATAAGCTTTTTCCGGATCTGACAGACAGAAACAAACAGTACATGTGTGTCCAATAGATGTGATTCAAGATGACAACATTTAAAACGCACATTCGATCAGAAAAAGACAAAAGACATGTCCATCCCTTTACAAAAAGGCATGAAAGTCATGTTCTGTACGTCATGAAGAGGATCCAACGGAACGGTTAACTTAGACCGTATTCTAAAATACATGAATATTAAAAGTGAACATTTCTAATTTAAGTGTATAAAAGCTTGTCAGTTGCAGTAGAGGAGAAATAAGGCACAGCAAGTGCCTTATTTCTGAGGAAACTTCCTGAAATTTGGTTGCACAAAAAAAGAAGAAACAGAAAAGTGAAAAGGGTCAGTTCAGAGTCGACACTGGTAGAGAGAAGAGAGCTGGACGACGAGACACAAAGAGGTAACATGGAACTTTTACATTTGTTTTAATAATATACTTTGAGACTGTAAATGGAAGTGACTGAATTGATTTATTCTTCCCCGGTGTATTTAAAGAAAAACACTTTTTTGATATTCTGTGATTTGGTGGTAAAGTAAGTTTGATGGGTGCTGAAGAAACATGTTTATGATGTGTAGGATGAAATAGATGCCGTACTTTAAACAATTGATGAATTTAGTTAATGTTTAGGTGGATCATAGCTGATGTTGTTATAAAGATGATTAGAATGTATTCTATTACAAGTATAAAGGACGTATCAAAAGCAACGCTTTCCCATAAAAAAATCTCAGGGTAGTCGCACCCCTTGGGCAGAAGTTGTTAAACTTGCAACTACAGAATAACTGATCATGCAACATCCTGTTTTTAGGGCTGTGATGTCAGCTGTGGACTTCCCGTTTGTTCCGTTCCTGCACGTTTACTGCGCCTTCACAGTGAAATCTGTTCTGTAGAGGGAGTGACTGACAGTCCCAACAATCAAATCAGGATGTTTGTTCTCATGTGGTCGACTCTGCTTTTCTCTGTGTGGGGCAGCAATGCAGACGTAGGTATGTGTCTTTTTCATATGCATATAACAACAACAACAAAACGGCAACAATATCTCTTTTTTTTCTTGGCATGTTTTTGATGTATTGTGAAAGTGAATTAATTTCTTTTTTTTTTACCAAAGAATGAATGTATCAATGTTAAAGGCTGACTAACTCTGCTGTTAAATTTTACTTGACACTTTTTTAATTCTTTAATTTATTTTGATAATTTGTTTACTAAAGAAATTAAACTAATTGGCTTGTTGTGCTGTTTCCAATTGTTGTTGCTTAGCAATCAGCAGTTATATACAACAAAAACAGTTGATAAACTATTGGTCAGAAGTAGCAGCATTTTCTCAGTTTGTATTTGATATTTCTGAAGTTGAAATATTCTGAGTTGCACCCTGTTTGCATCCACAGGTACATCATTGGAAAGAAGAGAGTTCTGTCAGGGTGACTTCTGTATCACTCTGATTGATGGACAAATAACAGCAGAGGCTGGACTCTGTGTCGTGATCCCGTGTTCTTTTACTATTAGTTATTGGTTCAGTCCAAAGGTCTCGTTTGGTTCAAATGTGAAACTGTTCAAAGATGTGGTGATTCAGACGTGATATTGAGCAGGAACAACCAAAAGATTCAGCCTGGGTTCAAAGGTCGAGTGTCACTGTTGGAGCCTAACCTTTCTCAGAGGAACTGCAGCATCATCATCAACGACCTCACTGCATCAGACTCTGGATCGTATCAGCTCAAAGTTAATCTTTTCACGTCTCGTGGGGACAAGATAAATTTCAATATCTACAAAGAGCAACTGTCTTAGTTAAAGGTATGGAGGGCTACACAAACATACAGTTAATATGTTAACTTCTGTACCTTTAAACTGCAATGACAAGTTTAGAGTGTTTTATTCTCTGTGGAGCCCACAGTAATTATTGACATTTGTCGACCTGTTGGCAACCTGTAGGAGCTGCAGCTGTTCCTAATATATCTCTTACATATACATTTTAACTTTTTAGTATCTTAAGTTTTTTTGTCCACATTTTAATGGCTCTGGAGTTTTAGTTTGCTCACCTGATTTTTCTTACGGATTTCTCCTCCATCAGATCTGACCCAGAAGCCCACATTGATGATTCCTCCTGACAGAGGGGCTGCAGAGCACACTGACCTGCACTGCTCCTGGTCTCTGCTCTGGATCTGCTCCTGAGATCACCTGGATGTGGAGAGGAGGAGGAGGAGAGAATGACTCCCACATCACAGGAAACATCACTGATTTCAAGACTGAGACTCTGACTGATGTGGACAAGACACAGCTCAACTTTGAGCTTTACACCCTCTGCTAAACACCATGGCACCAACATCACCTGTAAGGTGGGCTTCACAGGTGGGACAACCGCAGAGGAGACGGTGACTCTCAATGTGACCTGTGAGTACTTTGTTTACTTTTTTCTCGGATTTGCTCAGTGTTACATTTACATTGTATAGACGCTGTGTGTATTTCTGTCTCACAGATGTGAAGGAAGTTGAAATCACTGGAAACACGAGTGTGAGGGAGGGTGAGCTGCTTCAACTGACCTGCAGTGTTGAAAGTTTCCCTCCATCTCTTGTCACATGGACAAAAATGTCGACCAAAGACATTAAAAGTGGATCAAAACCAGATGTGCAAAATGACACTTTAGCTAACCCAGAGAACACAACTGAAATCTACCTACTGAGTGGAAATGGACAGGTGACTTTTTCCATCACCAAAGTGACCGCCAAAGATTCTGGACAGTACATCTGCACAGCAAATCATTCAAACATCACCCAGATGGAAAAAGTTGACATTGAAGTGATATGTAAGTGTAAACCAAAGTATCATTTTCCTCCTTTTCATCATTAGATACATGACACCAGGTGTTTACAGCAGAAAACAGCCTGAATGACTTCCACAGCCCCAACACCTCCAGACGTACAGGAGGCTTTTTAACATACAATGTTCAATATTTTTAAATGTGACTACAGACTTACTCTCTGATGTACGTCGCTTTGGATAAAAGCGTCTGCTAAGTGAATTGTACGGGTGATCAGCATTGATTCACTGCCATGACTTTAGTGTTTCATTAAAATAGGAATTAAGTCTTTACAGCGATGGAGGCTTTTGGAAAACTGACTGTTCTTTTTAAGTCTTCCTGGAGCCAAATGTTTAGAATAATAAAAGTTGTTGTGTGTTTCAGATAATGAGGAGGGAATTTGAAAATGTTTTGAATTTAGTGCCATCTAGTGGCAATATCAAGAATTTCCCAGAGTAGATGCACCAATCTTAAGACATGGTCTATTTCATATTAAAATGTATGTAGTGTTCATCACAATCCAAAGATGTCCCCCATTATACATACACTTCTGCTTATCTGCAGATGAAAAATACAATATTGGTGCCTTTTTCTATTTCAGTAGGAGTCTACAGTCACAGCACATTTTCAAGAAATTCAGTTACACAGCTGGACTTATTGTGTTTACATGGTCTTTAAGTATTGTGTGCTGTGACAAGCTACATAGATGATGACTTTGTCTTTTAATGTGATATGTATACTCACAGGCTTATTCAGTTGTTACCGGTCTGATGTTTCCTACCTCTTATTTGTTTAAATCTTTCTTCACAGATATGAAAACACCTGTGATCACTGGGAATACAAATCTTACTAAAAGTCAAACTCTGAATCTGACCTGCAGTTTTGAACGTTTTCCTCCGTCCCATATCACGTGGTCTTTACCTGGTTCCAACACTTTCCTGCTGAATGGCACTGGATCAGCGACACTTGTCATCCCTAATGTTAGGGTGGACAACTTTGGAAGGTACATCTGTACAGCAAAACACCTGGACATGACTGTCACTTTGTTTACTGATGTGACTTGTAAGTAGACATTATTATCTTCTTTAAAAAAATGTAAAATGATAAATTACACCATCAGCAGTTTTTTTTTTTTTTTTTTTTATGATTTTCTGTGTGTGTGTTTACAGTGTTTCCAAGCATCTTTGAAAACTCAGGATGTGAGTTTCAGTCGGGGCTCTTGACTTGTGTCTGTATCAGTGAGGGTTTTCCTTTACCCACTATCAGATGGCCGCTGTTAAGGAGCCGTACTGAGTACTCTGTCATGACATCTGTGACAAATCACACTGTCACCAGCACCATCACACTTAATGTAGATGACTACAGCAACACTTTAGCTGAGTGTGTCAGCAGCAATGAAAATGGGGAAGCAAAAGAAAACCTCACCATTGAGATGACCATGCCAGCTAAAAAAGGTGCAGCTTCTTGATTTAACCACTTCTGCTCCTAGAGACTACAGACTGCTTTGACCAATGCATTTGGAAAACTACAATTCATACTGTTAAAATTCAGTTTCATAGATACATTCGCACAAATTAAATTAGACAATTACAATTTCTCTTTTGTCTCTCTTGACTGCAGATGGATCCAGGGTGTTAAAAATGTTTTCACGGTTGGAGGTTATCGTTGCCTTTTTGATTGGTGCACTTCTTTCAGCCGTCTTCTGCTTTTTAGCAACCAAATGCCACAGGTGCACCATTAATACTAACAAATCATTTTGATTTGGTTTTGTATATGGATGGTTGTCAAATATAGATAAAACATGTTTGCTTTTTCTTCTTCTAGAAAAAGACAGAATAGCTCTGGAAATCTGGATAAGACTTTGGAAATGGTGACCAGTCAAGAGGATCCGCTGGTAATAAATGTTCATACAGCGATTATATTTAGAAGTTAAAACCTACGTTTTCTTCAGATTGCATGATGTGGATAGATAAGTGATGTGGCTACTACGACCTTTTAATCAATAATTTACTGACTTGACCATGAAGAGGGGAGTGGTTACACTGTGAGGTTTAGCAAAAAAAATCCCCTACTAGCAACATGACTTTAGTTAATTTAACAATATGAAAAACAGCTGTCATTGATAACACAGCTCTCTCCAATCTTAACATGTTTGTTTAAAAGCCCTCCCTCCAGTCCCACATGTACGCTGACATATTTCCTTTCTTAATTCAGTCAAACACCACACTCAGTTAAAAACGTAATTTCCAAACAAACAAAAATAAAAGGTTTGGGTCCTTGTGATTGGTCTTGTACATATTTGGTTATATATTCCTCGAGAAGATCAAGGCCCAGCTCTTCAAAAGTAATCCAACAGTATTAAAGCTATCAGATAGAATGAAGTTTTGATATCGTGTTGTTAAAAAACAAACAAGAGGATTGCGTAATTGGGATGGGGTAGATAGGATCATATAATCCATTTCTGGTTTTAATCCAGATAAAACCTCCAGTTGGTGATGTTCAAAAGTTTTGTGTAGGATAAAATCCCAAAAATCAGGATCACCCTGATCCCATCAGAGATCTGATTGAGGCTGGATTACACATTACAGAAAACTATTAAATTAAATTACTGGAAATATGATAGTTTAAGACCTTTTTGAGATAAGGTACAAATTAGGGTTGCATAACACTGAATGATTTTTCTTTCTAAAATATTTCACCAAAAAAGATCATCATCAAACATTTGATGTCTAATTTAAAGCAGCTTTTAGGATCGTTTAGTCTTTTATGGGCCATGGTGGTTCAGTGGTTAGTGCTGTTGCCTCACAGCGAGGACTTTCCTGGTTCAAATCCCTCTTGGAAAAACCACCTGTGTGGAGTTTGCTTGTTCTCCTTGTGCATTCTTAAGTCTCTGTCTCTGTCTGTCGAACTGTCCAGGGTGGACTGTCTTAGTCAGAGTTAGTTTGGTGGTGTGAGGTCATTTTGTGACTTCGGCCCTGTTCACACTTGACTTCTTTTTTCAACTGCCAGCACCTTTTTTACATACAAGCCTATGGAAAAAAGAAAAGGTTGCACATATACATTTTTAAGCCTTTTGTGTTTTGGACTCTGCACTGCTCTGTGGACAGTAACATATTTTTTCATTTTATCCAATGACACCCTATACCTACTTTATCATACGGCTCTTATTTCTGCTCTATGTTGAAGTCCATCTGTAATAATAGACTGACCAGTAAGGCCTGCAACGTACTTGTTTGAGAATATAAAACAAGTTTCTCCAAAGAGCTATAAGTATTGTATAACTTTAATCAGTAATATTAAAACAACAGAAAGATTGACCATACAAAGATACACAATTTGTTGCTTGTGAATGATGCTTATGAGTTGTATAATTAATGTTGTACCTCACAGATAGATGCAGGTCAAGAAGTGGAAGATGATCAGACCTACGACCAAGAGGTGATGGAAGCAGGAGGAGCTGTGGCAGAGGAGAAAGCAGCCCTTGATCCGGACGGTGGACCAAATGACGTGGAGTACGCCAGCATTGATTTCTCTGTGTTGAAAAGGAGCGCTGCAAAAAAGCGAGAGACCACTGAGACAGAATACGCTGAAATAAAGAAAGACGTAAAAGAGCAAAGAGAAGATCAAAGCGGAGGAGAAGGTGAAGTGATGGAGGACAAAGAGGAAGAGATGATGATAGGGGAGGATGAGGAGACAAAAAACTGTGTTCCAGAAGAGGAGGAGGGAGAGGATGAAGCAGTGTACTCCAATGTGAAGGATGTAATGGATGAGATTTGAGGACCATGTTGCATTTTAAAGTTGCTTGACGTAAGTTCTCTGGATCTGAGCTTCAAATGCCAAATTCAGGCCATAAGGAACTGTAATAATCGACACACTTCATCATATGGACTTTGCAAATCAATTCATTCATGTATCACTTATTTGGAAATTTTGTACAGTTGAGAAGTGCAAGGAAGACAAAAGAGTACTGCCTCTCTTGATGAGTTCTCATTTAACACTTATCATAGATGATGTCATGTCTTTCTAGGGTTCTTCTGGTCTATCCAAAGCTCTTCCCCATTTACTCGGAAAAAATGGACCCTCATTTTTACCCTTTGCAGCCAGGTGGTGTCAGTGTTTCAGAGGTTCATTTGGGATCTTTCAGACCAATTTGACCAAAATCTTTTTTAAAGGCCTGTGTAGAATGGCCATGCTTTCAAACCATTTGTAATAAATGGAGAACTGCAGATAAACAAACTAAGTTATTGCTAATAAGCCCTCTTTTTTTTTATCACAATTCATATTGCTTTTGCAATATTGAACAATGCTGTTTTGTGTCACATTTTTCTCATATTGAGTAGGCCTCAATGCCTCCCAACAATCTACATGCTAGCATCAGTGAGCATGCTAGCATGCTGACCTTTCAACTTTAACTGTATTGTCCCCAAGGGGAAATTTTCTTTACAGCCAGGTGAAACAGGAAACACATATAGAAACACAACTAAGACACACAAGCTGCCGGTCTCTACAAGAGCAGCGTCCCAAATTAGCTCACAGCACTGCCGCACTTCATAAGACAGTAGTGTGTTGTTTCAGTTTCTTTGATGGAGTCTACAGCAAAGAAACCTAAAGGGTAGGTTCTTATTTTTTACAGCTATTTCCAAAAACAATGATTCATGACCAAACATACATTGAAAGAGAAAATTCCTTCCTAAGGCAAATTCAATGTAAAAACAACAAAATCTTGGGGTGCCAGCCAAGATCTGTAACTAGAGTTGGCACAACCACAGTTCAACTTATCAGCCGCAGGTTCAACTCTTTGCCTCTGCCCTTTGATGCATGTCTACTCCACACTCTCCAGCTCACATTTCCCGTATGTCTTCAGATGTCCTATCAAAGTATGCAAAAAAGCCCCAAAAATCTTTCAAAAGGAGTGAATCTGCAGAAAGTGCATTCTATAGATTATCAACGTAACATGAGACTTGAGCAGAACTAAACACTGATATTTAGATTTTGAACTCCATCTCATTTTATTTGGAGCATTTTGAGTACTGTTTAAAGATCAGCAAACACGTCAGCTTTTCCATGGTGCAGAATAAATACTTTCCTCTGAGTAATGTACAGTGATCAAGTGGGTATTTGAAGAAGAACCCTATCAGAGTGATGCAGGCTGATGTTTGGAGTTATCCTTCCAGAGTCTGAGAACAGAGGTGCAACACAGTTTCTGCAAACAGCGGTTCATCATGAGTCTGGTTTGCTTGAGGTTTCTGCCTCTTAAAGGGAAGTTGTTTCTTGCCACTGTAACTTTGCTCAATGTTGCTTAGTGCTCATGACGGATTAATGTCGGGTCTTTGTAGATAATATAACAATGAGTGAGGTCTTCTTCCAGCTTTTTGTAAATTGTCTTGAGATAACATCTGTTATGAATTGGCGCTATAGAAATAAAGATTGATTGATGTAATTGACCAGAATCAGAACTTTCATCACAGCCATGCAGTTATTTTGACATAAAATACAAACAATGTGCATACACATTACAGACAGCCTATGATTTATTTATTTTTATTGACTGTTTTCATTCTCAGTTTTTAAAACTGATAATTATAGGCCTGATTTTTCTAAAGATCAGATAAAGTTTATCTTGTAGAAACAGTCAAAGATGACTTCTCTTTTTTAATGAATTGCAGGAATCAACCTGAACTAACGATCTCAGAATGAGCAGAATCTGGTGCTTATTGCAAAAGAGAATAAATATTTATTGTTGGATGAAATCATTGAGTTGTCAGTTACATAGAAGCCTTTATCACTGCTGGTATACTGCAGTCTTGATGGGTTTGAAAGTTAAGTGTTCAATAAGTTAACAACTGAAAATGACAAACTTCTTGAAATAGATTAAATCTTGTGCGTTAGAGTTTGAGGAGGAAGTTATTGGAGAGAACACAGTGATGCTATTTAAGGCAATGTTTAAACTGATGTTCAGCAGAGACTCTGCTCAGGTATGACTTGAAGATTTTGGAGAATACATTTGTTAAAACATTTGAGAAGGATTCACAAAGTTTCTTTCTAAGAGGCTGCATTCAATGGAAAATAAAGGGCTAGAACAAACACAACCATTTTCATTTAAAATTTGCAGGGAAAAGTCAGAATCAGATTTATTGTCCAGGTATGCTCACAAATACAAGGAATTGGACTTTGTGCTCTACAAAAATACAAAATTAAATATGAAATATAAACACACAAACTAGTAGGGCCGACCGATACTGATAATCTGATACTGATATATATTGTCCGATATCTTTTTTAGATCTATCTTCTATCTGTAGAGATAGATAGATATAGATAAACACATTTATTGCGTTGATCTATCAAATGCAGTTATCAAACACTTGTGGAAAAGATTTATAACGAAGACAAGATGGTCACTCAACTGGAAAGTAACCAAACATATACGTGCAACACCATGTCTAGTGTAACTCAACGATACTCAGATTAAATGCTATTTGACAGGTGAATAAATCTACTAATATCAGCGATGAAATTAGCTGATACCGATAGTCATTTGATATCCTAATATCGGCAAAAATGATCAACTGGCCCATTAATCCGTCAGGTTCTACCAACTAGTGTTTACAAGCCAACATGAGACAGTAGAGCAATGGTGAGCAGTGCAAAAGTGCTACAAATAAACATGAAAATAAATGACATTATTATTATAAAATAAGAGCTATGTTTCAAAATCAACATTATAACATGCTACCTAGTAGTGTAGACCATGCACACTCCAGCATGTCCAACTATACACATTATAAACTGTGAATCACAAGTAGAAGGGTAGCTGGTTTCTTACGCTGACCAAACTATTTTTAAACACATTTACAGAACTTCCCCTTTCTCAAAGTTTCTCATCAATAAATGGGACTTAATGTTAAAAAAATCAAGTCTTTATTTCAATTTGTTTTCCCAAGTTGAACATTACATATATTAACATATATGCAAAGATATAATTAGATTTCAGGTCATTCTGCCTTTTGATGAGAGCGAGCAGCGTGAAGATACTTCCTGGAAAGTTATGTAAGTGTAAAGAGGGAAGAAGTACAAGAAGAGGAGACAGAGAAGGAAGAATCATTTTGGGGCAGAGACACCCAGCAGAGATCACTGCAGACCGCCGAGAGCAGAAGAAGAGTAGTAACGGAGGTAAACCACATCATTTACTTGAGATTTATAAATATCTTTTTAAATTAAAAAAAGGGAATCTGTCATTAGTGGTAAACATTTTTATTCCTTGACACATTTGTAAAGCTATTGATGCTCTTAATTGTCCAATCGGAGTCAAAGCTGATCGTTTGCACTTACTGACATTGTTTCCTTTTTTGTAGATCCTTGCTTGTGTTGTAGTTGCTCTCTGATGTACGTCGCTTTGGATAAAAGCGTCTGCTAAGTGAATTGTAGAATTAATTTGGATTATGAAAATTCATTTCATAGATCTTTTGCGAGCGTTAATATAGAACATCACCGTTACAGTTCTTTTTAAAAGGGCTTTAAAATAAATAATTTATGGGAAACCCACAAGCCCGAAGAAAAATGAAGCCAAATTCAGAAAATGGACTACATGGTTTGAACATGTAATGTCCTGTAATCAAATATTTGATTAAACCATAGAAAAGTATAATCTAGGCTCCTGTGAGATACTTTTGGTTTGTGTTGATTCTGGCTTGACTGTAGACAAAGCGGTGCCTCTTATCTCTCTGCTGGTTTGATCGTGTACATGTAAGCTTCAGTATGATGGTTTGTTTTGTCTTCATACTGATGCTCAAGGGCGACATCTACTGGATGAGAAAGTCACACATT